AGGCGAGGGTGTGACGAACTCTTCTAACTCCTATGACGCTGAGCTTCCCTTCTTCCCGAACAGACTCCGGGTCCAGGCGCCAGGCCTCGGTTCCCAGGCCAGGCCGAGCCTGAGGCAGATCGAAAGCCTAGGCCGCCCGAGAAAGGCAGCTGCCCGCTCTCTGGGCTCACGTGGGGGACTTGTAGCTCCCTCATAGACAATGTGACTTCTTAGAAAAGGTGAGCCCTGGCCAGGTGGCTCTGTCGGTTGGAGCGTCATCTCGTACACTAAAGGATTGTGGGTTCGATTCCCGGTCAGGACAGACTGGGTTGAGGGTTAGGCGTTTCTCACATCAATGCTTCTTTCTCCAAAACCAATAAACGAATCCTTGGGGAAGGATTTTTTAAAAGGGGGGAAAGATCAAACAAAATTAGCTATCTGCAAATGATAACCATTTAGCTGAAGGGGCATACTGGAGACCTTTTTTAAAGATTGTTTATTTATATTTAGGCAGAGGCCAGAGGGAGAAGTGTGTTATTTATTTATATTTAGACAGAGGTGAGAAAAACATCGATGCGTGGTGGCCTCTCGTGCTCCCCCCACTGGGGACCAGCCCACAACCCAGACATGTGCCCTGACTGGGAATCGAACCCGAGGCCCTTTGGTTCACAGGCCGGCACTCAGTCCTCTGAGCCTCGCCAGCCAGGTGCCGGAGGCCTCTGACAGTCACAAGTCACCGAGTCCAGGCCCTGCTCTTTTCGGACACGGGTGTCAAAGTGCTGTCATCTCAGGAGAGAGCCTTCTGACAGGGCACGGCTGGCCTCTGAGCCTGGGCCCAGCTGCCAGTGTGGGAGCCCCGAGGTGGGCTGGAGCAGCACTCCCAGCTCACGGCCCTGGAACCTGGCGAGGGACTCGGGGCTCTGGGCACAGCAGGCAGGGGGCCCTCCCCGCCCCTGCCCCCCGCCCCCAAGGGTCCTGAGGCCCCTGCACCTGCGGCTTCCGGATCCGAGCGTCCAGGTGTCAGGCACGGGGGTAGGAAACCCCGAGATGCACGACCAGAGTGCGGACATTCGCAGGAAAAAACCTCTCTCTGAAATTCCCCTTTGGTGTCATGTGGGTGCCAGTCTTCTCGGGGTGATCACTGTAAATTATATAAATGTCTCCTCACTGTGTCGAACACTTGAAACTAATGTGTCAGCTGTATGTGAGCTGTTACTGAAAAATTAAAACACTTTTTAAAGATTAAAAAGGAAAGTCCCCACAGGTGAAGGAGGCATCGACAAGCTGCCTTATACCCAGTCCCAGGGCTCAATGCCCGAAATATGTCTGAAAAAGTGAATTTACCCGTGAAGAAACAGTGGCTTTTATATTTAGGAAAAAGTTTTCCACTTTGGGAACAAGCAATTGTCACGTTTAAGAATTGAAACTTCAATCAGAACCATGTTTCACATTTTGAGCGTAAGCTGTCAGCTCCGAAGCGGCCGGGGTCCGTCCCTCTGCCCCTTCCCTTGGATGTCGGATGGGCCTCCGGCTGAGCACACGGCCCGGCGCCCCGGGGGCGGCGGCCGCTCCGAGGCCCCGCCCGTGCCACGACCACGGTGTCTTCCTGAAAAGGAGCCACGTAACCTTGATCTTCTGTTTGTGAGGATGTGCTTTTTATTTTCCACGAGGTGTCTCCATTTAAACTCCTGAGTAGGACCAAATACCCATTGTTGTGAAGATTTAAAGTGGAAAATCGTTTTTTCTTCCCTTTTGACTACGCTGATGATTAGTCAAGATGCCACCAGCAAGACCCCACGGCCTCACACAACGTCCCTCGCGGGCAGGAGCGGCCGGCGCCTGCCCTCTGCTGTCCTCACAAGGGCCACGCATGGTCACAGCGAGTTTCCACGGCCACCTACCAAGCCACCTTCAAATCCACCCTGTAACTTCAGGGAGCTCTGTATTTTGCCGAGTATGATGCGTAGTTTTTTGCCCAATTTTTGAGGGAAAAATAAGGATGCGCATTATCCATGGGTAATACCCGAAATACCTTGTATCTGGTTCTTGTGTTTTGTGATTATTTGTTACATACAATTTCTTGCACCATAATATGCTAAAAAAATAAATGCTAAAATTCCTTCACAATACAGAAAACAAGTATCTAAATATAAATAATGGAAGCTTGGGCCACAAACCTGGGTGCGCGTTATACACAGGAGTGGGGCAGACACGGTGAAACCCGGTCCCCAGGCCAGGGCGGGAGGGGACCGGCCGCACCAGCAGTCCTGGTGGCTCTGGGCTTCCGGTTCAGGCACGAGGGCGGCTTCACCGCGCACCCAGTGGGCAGGGAGCAGCCTCAGGTGCGGGACAGAGGCGCCTGCCCCACGAGGCCTCGAGGCCCCGAGTTCTCCTGCCCCACCCCCAGTCCTTTTCACTGGTGTCTTCTTTCCATCCGAGGTCACCAAACAAAGTCAGAGTTTGTGCTGCCCCTGCAGGCTATGGCCCAGAGGGGGCAGCAGTCCCCTGGGGACCCTCACCTCCCAGGCAAGTCACCTCCAGGCCCGCACACCCCGCAGACACTGCCCGCCACAGTCACGCCTGGAAGGCGGCGCAGCCAGAGCAGGTGCGGTTTGGGGCCCGAGGGTCAGTGAAGTCCCAGCAGGGGCTGCCCGGCCGGTGCGCAGGGCCCGGAGGGCTGAGGCCCCCGCAGACCTGAGCTCCAGGCACAAGGAGAGGTGAGCATGGGCGCTGTGGGGACGAGTGGCCGGCAGAGCTGGGCCCCCACTCACACACGCACCCCATGCTCTGGGCCCCCCACGGCCCCCCCACAGAGCTCAGACCTGAGGCCAGCCAGACGGTGTCCCCTGTGCCTGCTGGGAACCACTCCGCCTCCAGGGTCCGTGCATCGGAGAGAGGACATCGGTCCTGACAAAATGGTACCCCGAGGGCAGGCTCCATTTAGTGAGGAAGCTGATCGGGCCGCCCGAGCCGTCAGAGGTGCCGCTGGGCCCACCTCACAGGCAGCCCGGGGGCAGCCCCCCAGCAGGTCGCACGCGGAGCCGGCCTTCCGGGGACCGGCGGCAGACACCGGCGGCAGGTGCGCCCCACTCACTGCCGTGCCACCTGACAGGAGCAACTGGGATGAACACGTGCCCCACACGGGACGCCCCAAAACTCAACGCTGCCCAACTGCAGCCACGACACTCGGCCAAGGAGGGGGCTGCTTGTCACCCTGGAGTCACCTGAACCACCCTGGAAGTCTGTCCTGAACCACAAGGACCGGAGCGATGACCTTGGGCCGGAACGGTGGCCCCCAAACTGGCGAGGGTGGTTGACGGTGCAAGTCAGGCATTTTCTGTATCTGAACATGCCCGGTGGGGGGTGGGGTGGCTGGTCAGACCTGCGATGGCGAAGCCACTCCCACCTGGGACAAAGCAGGACCAAAGGGGACTTAGCAGAGGATGTCACAGGACAGACGGCACCAGTGGACAGAGCAAACACCATGACAGCAGGACTCGGACCGCTGACCTTGGGGGTCAAGGGCACAAGGAAAGGGCGGGCTCCTCCTCCGGAGCCAGGGGCTTTGGAGTGTGGTCCGACCCGTGTCTGCCTGCAGTTGGAAGGTTTGCTTGCATGATTCTCATTTCACATGGAAAAAAGTAGTTCATGGCCCAGGCCTGAAGGAGCCCCTTCTGATTACACACAGTGGCAAGAAAAGCCACCGAGATGTGTTCCTCTTGGAGCAGGAGGTGGGACCCCACCCACCTCTGTGACAAGTGCATCCCCCGCCCCTGTCACGGGCTCCGGTGCCCCAGCTGCTGCAGCCAGGAAGTGGCACCTGGGGCAGGGCCGACCTCCGCCAGGGCCCACGCAGTTCCTGTCTTAAAAAATATATTTTATTGATTATGCCAATACAGTTGCCCCATTTTCCCCCTTCACCCCCTTCCACCCTGCACGCCCCTCCCCCACCATTCCCTCCCCCCTTAATTTATGTCCACGTGTCTCAAGTTCTTTAGCTTCTACATTTCCCACACTATTCTTGCCCTCCCCCCTATTTTCTACCCACTGTCTATGCTACTTATTCTCTGTACCTTCTCCCCCCTTCTCCTCCTCCCACTCCCCTGTTGCTAACCCTCCATGTGATCTCCATTTCTGTGGTTCTGTTCCTGTTCTAGTTGTTTGATTAAAATGTTTTTTTAGGTGTGGTTAATAATTGTGAGTTTGCTGTCATTTTACATGATTTTGATATTTTCTTAGATAAGTCCCTTTAACATATTCCAAGTCATGAAAGGCAGGGACCTACATCTAAGATTGCTCTATCCAGCAAAGCTATTGTTTAGAATGGAAGGACAGAAAAGGTGCTTCTCAGACAAGGTCAGGTTCAAGTTCATCATCACCAAGTCCTGTTTTTATAATTTAATCTGAGAGAGGAAGGGAGACAGACCCCCATCAGTTGCCTTCCATACGCACCCCAACTGGGGACCAAACCCACAACCCAGGCCTGTGCCTCTCTACCAGGGATCGAACCCAGACCAGTGGAACCACCACCGGCAGGGCCTTTCCTGTCTCATCTAAGTGGCCGGCGCCCTCCCCTCAGGCTGCCAGGCAGCTCCTCCCGCCCTCACCACCAGACCACAGGCCGGGGAGACGCAGCGGCCAGGACAGGGCCACGGGCTCCCCGAAGTCCAGCACGGAGGTGCGCCGGGCCACCTGCCGATGGCACGTGTGACAGCGGCCCTGGGAGCAACCGTTTCTTCCACACACTTGCCTCGGGGTGGAAACCGTGCCGAGGTCTCCACGGACCTGCGGGGGCTCCCGAGCGGTGCAAGGGCTGCACCAGTACGGCCCACGTGACGACTGTGCGCTGGGACGCCCCACGCTCACCGGCGACACCCCACTGTCCCGGCTGCCCGCTCCCCGCGGCCAGGGGGTGCCGCCCGGCCCAGGAGTGGCCCGTGTCCTGAAAAGCGGTTTAAAGTGAGTCCGTTACGGCACGTTTGTGTAACGTCTCGGTAAAGATACACCTGTCTGCACAAGGGTTGCTCATTGAATCTGAAAGTGTTTATTGCGTTCTATTTTTGGTGGAAAGACGTAAATACGCGTACTTAGCACAGCCCGGCACACGCGGGGCGGAGCCGAAAGAAGCCCCGCCCCTCGCGTCCGGGAGGCGGGGCCACCGCTGCTCAGTCCAGAGGCAGGTCGCGCGCTCAGGCCGCGGTCCACGGTCGTCAATTTTCTCCTTTCAGCGTGGGCAGCAGCTCACCGTTTTCTTTCAGCTCCTGAGAAGAAAGAAAAGAGCAGCGTATGTGTGTCCGAGTAGAAAACAACCTAATTCAGACGCGTATGGGTCCGAGACCCCAGGGAAACCCTCCAACCAAACACGTGGCCGTACGAACAGCCCCCCTGGCCGCAGTCGGGCCCCAACACTAAGGGAAGGGCATCTGAAAGCAGCGGGCTGTTCGGCTCGCGTGCACGGCGCTGGGGCAGAACGGCAAAGCCTCCCACGCGGGCTGGAGCAAGAACCGGGGAAGACAGTCCGAGAGAGGGGCAGAACCCCCCAGCCCAGGCCGCTGTCCCTACCCCCCTGGAAAGTGGCCGAGTGGATGCGTGAATGTGGGCGTGGAGCCCAGAAACCGTGGGAAAGATGCAGCGGTTCAGGGGGGTTCCTGTGCGGTCTTTCACAAAACACGGGCACAGCCGTCCGGCCTGACGCGCAACAAGAAAAGCGACGCTCTCTAGTCTCAGAGAAGCACCCGACGGGACGCCCAGGCCAGGTCCGCACGCATGGACCGGAGCACCGCCCCAAGGGCTCAGCCAGCCCTCGGGCTGTCCTGGTACTTGCTCCCCACGAGAGGCCCCGCTGCACCCAGGCCCCACAGCAGACACAACTGGGCGGGCCAGCGGTGCCCTGGCAGAAGGCGGACATGCGGACTTCCCCACTCTGAGGTCCCAGACCACTCACCCACCTACTCCCATGTGTCCCCTCCTAGTGACAGCAGGTGGCTTCTCGCAGGCTGACGCATGAAAGCAGTGTACTGGCCCAGCGCCAAGTCCTTCGGACAAGGCAGTTTAAGAGGTGACCTGCGCCACACACTGTCCCCAGACACTGCAGGAGGCAGCTGCCCATCATCCAGTGGCAAGTTTCTCCACCCACGCGGCTCCCGACTTGCTCATTCGTTCAGCCGGTCACCCGTTTGGCAGAAAAGGCACCCGGATGGCTCCCAGAGGCCAGCCAGGGGACACTGTCCGCACGGCCCTGGAATTTCCACGGCACAGCAGGCGAAGAGCCCGGCTCTGCGCGAGACGGCCCCGTGCGCCCGAGCTGTTCCCAGGCACCCCCTCGAAGAACCCGTCTCCGAGCACATGCGTTCTCGGCAGGTGAGCAGGGAGTCCCAGGGCAACGGCCCTCACACACCTGCAGAGAAGCTGCCTGTGCCAGGCAGCTGTGGGAGTTAATGGGACTGATCGATCGCCTCTCCCCGTGATTAGCAACGGCCAGGGCTCAGGCCACAGAGCACCGAGGCGAGACGGCAGGGGAGGGTTTGCGTGTGTGTGTGTGTTACAAAAGTGAAAATATGTAAAAAATAACAAACGCAGATCTATTTTTGTTACTTTGGGGCTATTTGAAAGCTACAACCCTAAATTAAACCTATTTCCCACCAGGAAAAGGCCTAGAAAAACGCCTCCCTGGCTGTCCTGAAAAGCGCAACTCGGTGCCAGGAGCCGGCGGGAGGCAGGTGCAGCAGGAAGCCCGCACACGCAGCCTCCGCGCTCCTGGGCCGGCGCGGATGAACCCGCACCCGCTGAGCTGCCCTCACTCGGCCCGCTGGCCTCTCCCCACGCGATGGAGGGCGGGTCTGGACATCTCTCCTCCCACCTCACTGGACACAGCGCTACCGACGATCTGCTTCCTGCTCAGAAGGGCTGAGACTGGACCCTGAGAAGTCCCGGCCACGTGCCAGCTGGCGCTGCTCTCCACCGGCCCACGCCCAGCTTGAGCCTGTCCCACACCCACGCTGCCACCCCCTCCTGTGCCGTGACAGCAGCCGGCGGGGGTGGTCCGCTGGCCTCCGCGGCTCCGGGCCGGGCAGTCAAGTCTGGTGCCACATGTGCCATCACATGGGGGCACCCTCGATCCCGCACTCGAGTTCCAGAAGAAGAGAGAAGAGTCGCGCCACTGACAGCCCCGTGAGAGTCCTACAAACCCAGGGAGGAAACGAACCCTCGAAGACGGGAGGGCACGGCTCCTCCCTCCCCAAACACGCTCGCCCTGGAGGGGCTCACCCACGGTCTGGCTCCAGGGCACCGGGGGCGGGTTCGGGGAGGACCTCACGCCTTCCGGCCTCTGTCCTTGAGGAAACTGAGTCAGGAAGCTCGGGCCTCCTGCTGTGACTGCTGTCCCCGCGGGCACGGAGTGAGGCAGGCGGAGGAGCCCCAGGAGCAGGGCTGCAGCGACCGCGCTGCCCCAACTGCAGAGGCGCAGGGCAGCTCCGGGCGGCAGCCGGAGCCCTGGGCAGGGAACTCCCCGACGGAGTACCCCGCGGACGCGGGGCGCAGAGTAACTGTGGACCCCAGGAGGCCACTCACGCAGCAGAGACGGGCTGAGGGAGAGCTGGAAACATGCAGGGCAGCGCGGCCAGAGCAGCGTGGGGGAGTCCAACAGAACCGGGACGTGGCCACAACGCCGCACCGAGTGGGGGCCTCCCTCGGCGGTGGGGCTGCTCCCAGGGGGTCGGCCAGGGGTCGGGAGAGGCCCCTCGTGAGAGGGGGACCGACCACCTTGGGGGACGGTGAGGACAGCTGGACACAGCAGCGGCAGTGAGAATGGCCAGACGGGGTGGCCCCAGACATGGCAACACCGGCGTAGAAGTGACCGGACAGGCGGCCGGAAGAGCCGGCAGCAAGGACCGCCCGGAGGCCCACGCAGAAGGGCCCCTCGGGCGCTGGGCGCACCGGGACCCACCTTGACGATGTCCAGGCCTCCGACGAGCTCCCCTCTCACGTAGAGCTGAGGGTACGTGGGCCAGTTGGAGAAGGCCTTCAGCCCCTGGCGGACCTGCGGAGACAGCGGGCCCTGACGCCTTCCCGCCGGGCCGAGCGACGGACAGACAGACAGAGGGCGGACAGACGGGACTCACCTCCTCATCCTCCAGGATGTCGAACGTCTCATAGTCGACTCTGGAAAAAGGAAACACGTTTCAACCAGAAATTCAGCTTTAAACAAAAACTATAAAGCCCGCTTTGTGTTTTAAAAATGACCAAGAATAGTGACTAAACCACTTGGGCAGTAACAAGACTCACTGCAGAGCACGGGGTGCCCCACACCACCAACGGGTCGTGCTGCCCGTGTGCACCCAGCGCCACCGCACGGGGCGGGAAAGTCACCGAGGGGTCAGGGCGCCCGACTGGGACCCGGTCGGCGCGCAGTCCCGGAGGCTGGCCTCCGAAGGGCCACGCACAACCCAGAGCCGCCCGCCTTGGGAGACCATGTGTCCGGCGCCCCGGCCACGGGACCATCATGGGGCAGAAACCGCCCAGAAACAAGATCAGCAGCAAGAACCAAAGACTACACGTTCGAAAGACCAAAACGCATTTTCTAAAGAAGGGCCCACACAGGGTCGGGCTCCGTCCTGATGAGCCGAGGGAGGTGGCTCTCCAGGCCAGGCCGTCATCTGTCACGAGACCCCAACAGCTCCTTGTACAGGGGCCAATCACACCTCAGCATGCACCTGGGACTCCGCCCCTCACGGCGAGTGGCTTGGGGGCCAGAGCAGAGGAGGGAGCAGAAGCCAGGGCTTCTTCCCCCACGTGCTCAGGTGAGTTCCAGCTACAGACCCGCAGAGGCCCACGGGTGGGTGTGGGGGGCGGGCCGCGGGGCACTCTCTCCCAAAGAAGCCCCAGCCCCAGGGAGCCGGCACCCTGCCCCTCCTGGGCTCACAGATGGGGACACACAGCGGGCAGGGAGACGCCCCCAGCATGGGAGCTGGCACAGGCCCAGTGTCCTGGCCTCACAGCCTGGTCGATGTGCCCCAGGGGACAGGCTGGGGCCAGGGAGGAGCGCACTGTGCGTCACCGGGGAGCAGTGCAGAGGGAAGACAAAGGGGCCGTAAAGATTACGACCAGACCGAGCCAGCCTGTCCCCGTCCGCAGCAGAGCGAACAGGCGCAGGCCGGACCCTGCCGAACAATAACCCGACCGGCTCCGCTCTGTAAAATGTCACCATCGCATGAAGGGATCCGTCGTTTTACGTCCCCGGGGCTGTGTCTGCACCTGTGCTGTTCACCTGGCCGCTCCCAGCCCTGCCGGAGCGCCGGAGCACTCTGAGAACCACGTTCCTGCAACTTCACGGGGCCGCACAGTCTGTGCAAAGCCGCAGCTTGAACACTGACCACGGGAAATGGCCGTTGAGAAACAGGACATGAGACACGGGTGGACACACGTGGCGAAGCCCCCAGAACGAGCGCCGACCACACCCACGTCTGGGACCTGTCGGTTTTGTAAACTGAGGGGCAAGTGACACAGACACGGGCCTTTGTTTTCAGGCACAGAAACCGCTCAGCTCGTCCCTGGGCGGCTCGTCCCCGGGCAGATGAAAGCAAGGGCCCGGCGTTTAATCCCCTGCTCACACCCAGAGCGTCGACCTGGGAGGTGCCCCGAGTCAGCTTTGTGGGCCGTTTAGACCCTGGAGTGTGTGTTTGGGGTGAACGAGAAACCTGGAATTCACTTGTCCTAAGACACCGTCATGCCTAGAGAAAGGACAGTTACTAACTTCCCTTTGGAACATAGACAAACGGTTACTTCATTGTCACCAGGTGTCTGACATGGGCCAGAAAAGGCTCACACCATAGACTGAAAGTGCTCAGGGAGCAGAACCGCAGGGTGAACAGAAACACGTGGACACAGACCGGAACCCGAATCTGCACTACGCCACTTGAAGACAATCTCCACTCACCCGGTGCTGTTTAGTATTTCCAGAATCTGTTTGCTGAACCCGCACTTGGCTTCCTAAAATCAGAAAAGGAGAGTGAGGCTCTGCTCCCCTGACCCCAGTAGCCTGTGAGCTGCGGCTGAGCCGGCCGGGGCCCTGTTCCCGGCTGCAGCTGCGCAGGAAGACTCGGCACCAGGCAAACATCTGCACGGCGCAGACCTAGCAGTTCTGTTCCCAAACGAATGAGTACTTCCTGGGCTTCCAGAAAAGCTGTCTGGAGAATAAAAATAATCACCGGAGGGGGGAAGGAGGCTTTCTCAGTACTGGGGACCACCTGCTTCTCCTGCCCCGCTTCAGTAAACAAAGGGACCAAAGAAGCCGGACCCAGGCCCCAACCCGATGACCACAAGGGAGCCTGAGTCCAGGGAGCCCCGAGAACCGCCCGGTTACAGGGGGGCGGCCTGACGGCAGGGGCCACAGGACGGAGCTGAGTATGGAGGGGGAGTCCGCCCTGTCCGTGGCCCCTAACCCCTTGGGTGCAGTCCCTGTGAGAACCCAATGAACACCAAGACCCTCTTTTCAGAGAAGCGGAGAACGCAGTCATAGAAAAGGGGAAAAAGCACGCCCAGCAGCCCCACTCACCCACTGGCCCACCTCTGCGCACACGGGAGGCAGCAGGGCTCTGCCCACGGGGACACTCCCACGGGGACCCCAGATCCGCCAGGCTGCCCGCGCTCGGGCAGCGCAGTGGGCAGAGCCTGCGGTCACGGGCAGCGGCCCAGACCCAGCGAGGCGTGAATGGCACCGACCAGTCCGCCGGCCAGTCTGGTGGCAGCAAGAGCACCCGGGGGATGCCGGGACACAGGTGACTGTCCGTTCCTCATGGGTACCTCGAGGGCCCCGCCCCTTCCTGACCCCTGGGCCTCGTGGGCAAATGCCGCGAGCGTCCCCTCGCCGCAGGTGCTGCCGCCAGGGAGCCACTGAGTCCCCTACCTGCCTGCTTCCCTTCATGAACAGCATCACGGGGGCTTTCCTCGTCAGGGCGGTGAGCCTGCGGAGAGAAGAATCGGCGTGAGGCCACTCCGCTGGGTGAGCAGACGACACCCAGGCCCTGCCTCCAGGCAGCGCACACGGGAGGGACGGAGGCTGGGCTGGCAGACTGGGCGGCACCACGAGCAAATGCACCTCCCTCCACGCCCCTCCCCCCACAGACGGTGGAGGAGACGCAGCCGCCGTGAGACCCGAGGCGGCTTGTTAAGGCCACTGCGGTGTCAGCCGTCAGCTCAGGGACGGGAGTGGGACCTCACAGCCGGAAGCCCCAACACTGGACGGCCCGCGGGGGCCACACTTCCGAAGACACTCTGGTTTAAGCTTCCCCACCGATTCATGCCGATGGCGATACGATTCCTTCATGGCCCTGCTGGCTGAAGGCTGGAACTCTGCCGAGATGGACCGTCTAAAAGCCGCCAGACGCCCTTCAGGAAATGGGTGCGGCAGGCCCCGCAGCCCCGGACCCGCCCCGACCGGTGCCCGCTGCCATCTGGAGAGGCAGGGGGAGGCCGCAGGGGCGACACAGCAGTGGCCTGGGGCCGAGGGGCCTGGCAGCGGCAGACAGTGGGACCCGAGGGGGCAACACAGGCGGCCCAGGGCCATGCTAGGAGCAGGGCCCGTGACCACACCTGGACTTCGTGCCAGCTGGGCCCTGCTCCGAAACGCAGAGGTGACTGAGCCTGGATGTCCCCCAGCAGGGCCCCCCCCCACAGTCACCACGTAGACACAAAGCACCTCCAGCCCAATCAGGCCCCCAGCTGGCATGTCCTGCGGAAGGCACACGGCATGAGGACTGCCGTGGAGTGTGAGACTCGTCCCTACCCTGACGGAGAAAGGCAGCAAACACCGACAGTCACGGAATGTTTCTGAAACAGGGGTGGACTCTTATTTAAACACCCACCTTTCCTCTAACTTGGGGGCTTTGGGGCAGATGGTACCCAGTTCTCCCGATGCTTCCAGCTCCTGAAACAGACACGGGTGCGGGTCACAGAAACTCGCATCAGGAGGGGTTTCCTGGCCACGCCGCCGCGCCGAGTCTGGGCACAGCCCTCCCACCAGAACAGCCGCACGCTGGCGCAGGCAGAGGCTCACAGGAACGTACGTGTGAGGCCTGCGACAGCACGCACGAACCCGCGTTCCAACTGCGGATGCCCCGCCCCATGGGACGCCCTCCCCGGGCCAGTCCGACCTTCACGATGTCCAGTCCGCCCACGAGCTCGCCGGAGACGTAGAGCTGGGGGTAGGTGGGCCAGTTGGAGTGGGCTTTGAGGCCCTGGCGGACTTCTTCGTCCGAGAAGACGTCAAAACTGCTGAACTGGATGTTGTGTGTGTTGAGAATCTGCACCATCTGCTTGCTGAAACCTGTGCAGAGCAGAGGAAAGTGAACGACCCCCCCTCCCGCCGGCACTCGCACCGCCCTGCGTCCAGAGGATCGTACCCACGGACCCACGTCACCGGCGGTGGAGTAACCAGGGCCCAACAGTCCTAGGGAGAGAACTAACTCCAACTAACGGACTCCATCGGATAACGCCGCACCTGATGCCGAACCACACCCCGTGCTCAGGCGTGGTGGTTTAACTCTTTAATACACTTGTGAGTTTTTACGTGTGTGTGTACCAGGTACACTTTTTTGTCACAAACAGTACTGGACAAAAGGCAGAGTCCTCTGGCCCAGGACTGGGACCCACCCACGCAGGGGACGCACAGGCAAGCCCAGGTCAGGGGCGGGCACGCCAGCACACTGAGCTTCCGTGCTGCCGTCCCTGCCGTGGTCCTGGGCTGTCAGGGAACGGGGCACAGCGTGTTCTTTCTCATCTGCTGCCAGAGCTGGGCGGCTCCTTGTAGAGCAGCCCGCACCCCCCAGAGTGCATTACAGGGTCTCCCCCGCAGTGTAGGGGCCCCCGTGTTCCCTGGTTTTGTTACCCTTCAGCGACACACTTTGGTCTGTTCTGGGACTGAAGACTGAGTGTGAGTGTCCGCCTGGCACAAACCGGTTAGTGCCCACTGAAGAGAGGGTGGTTTTCTCTCCCTAAGCCTGTCCCCCGACGGACCCGGCAGGCCCTGCCGCCCACTCTCCCCACCCACCACGCCCCGCCCCACTCTCCCTGGCAAAGGGCCATCAGGAAAGAACCTGCCTTTCAGACCCCGAGTTCCTGCACAGTGAACAGCGTCAGCAATTCTTGTGAAGGACATCAAACCACAAAGTGCAGTGAGCGACCACTCCCAGAACAGGCCACCCCCCACGCCACGCGGATGCGTGCATGGGCGCCACCCACCCCGCCTGCGGCGTCCGGATCGCTCACAGCAGGGAGTGCGCAGCCAAGGCTGCCCTCCTGCCGCTATTCATCCTGCCCCACCGTCCCCCCACTCACACTGCGAACACGCCCTCCCCCGCCCCCGCCGCCCTCAGGACTCGGACGCGGAGCTCTCCCTGCACCTGGGATCCACCAGACCACAGCTAAGGCACAGGCGCCGAGGTCGTTCTGCTGCCCACCTACCACCACACTTTCAGACCATACAACACACCTCTTTCAGAGGAAAACAGGAAATGAAATTTCAAAGCAAACGTAAAATATTTAATAACATGTCACCAATGCAGATGTAAACAGAGCTCAAGGGCAGCACTGACGACCGTCGTCCCTCCCAATGGGGGCGGGGCGGGGCGTCCTACAGTCCGAAACCAGGGTGGTCCTCCCCCCTGCCCGCGCCAGAGAGAGGCCTGCACCGTGGCTCTGGGCAGCGGCAAGTGGATGGAGAGACTGACCGGTGGGGCCGCATCTTTAAGGGTTAAAGTGGCAGACTGGCAGTGTTATGCTTAAGAATAAACAGTGAGAAAGCTTCATTCTAGTGACGAGACATTCACACTTCTAAGGAAAACCCGTGCTCGAAGTGACGACACTTAGGGCAGGAAAACCTGTTTAACACCCACAGAGCCGCTCTGTCTCCGAGGTCATGTCCGCTCATGACCGAAGCTGTGACCCACGGCCCCAGCCGCCAGCAGCGGGGCCTGCAGAGCCCACGGAACCGGCAGTGTCTCTGCGTCTGGCGCAGAGTGAAGCCCGACGTGGGGCTCGAGCAGCAGGGGACAGGTCTGTGCTGTGGCTCAGGCGCCCTCTGCTCCGCTACCAGCTTTGTTAACTACAACAGGTAAGAGAGTTCCCCAAAACTTCATCGACCTGCAGCTTCGAGGGTTTGCTGTCCCGCCTGAAAAGACGAGCATCTCAGTGCGTGTCTGACGCCTTCCCAGAGCGCACGGGCCCGTCCGGCCGTCTGGCCCTCCCGAGGAGCCTGGCCTGAGGACACTCCGGCCTTCGGTCCTGGAGCCCCGTGGTCCCCCTCAGGTCACCCCTGCAGCTCTGTGGGCGGGGCCCCGGGGAGGGGAGGGCGACAGGCACTGCCCTGTGCAGGGGCTGGGCCAAGTCCACGGAGACCCCGGGCAGACCCTGACACGGCCTCCCTGTTCCCGACGCGACAGGTGAGTGCCGCTCCCATCTGCCGAGGGACAGAATGTGTGTGTCGGGGGCCCCAACCTGTGAAAGGCGAGCGTCTCCCCCCTGCAGCACGGCCGTCACTCACACAGAGGAGGCTCCGCCCACACTCACTGCTAGCACGTCGGCAGGACAGCACAGCAGTCCGCCCTGAACAGGCTCGGGGAGGGGAGCTGGGCGCGTTCCCGGAGGGAGTGGCCGAGAGAGGGTCTGGGTCCCGCGTGCACACCACAGGGCGGACGGCCGTGGCATCAGAGACCATCTCACCAGAGGAACCTCGTCACCACCCGTGACAGAAAGATGCGCTGTGACAGAGCCAAACGTCGGGAGCCAGAAAAGCCAACTGAAGCAGTTACGGCGCCCGAAACACGGGGGGAATTTAGGGGGGACCCTCTGTGACTGTCTGACCACCCGCTGCCCCTGGGACTGATGCGTCGGATGCTACCTGTGATTGAACAGCAGAGATGTTTTCAGTGCAGCTATAAAAATCACAAAAACTAAAATGCACGGAGTATTTTGTATGGAGTGAAACTGTTAAATCCTTTGTATCTAAAAATCTTTTAATTCCCTAATTAGGTTTTTTGTTATCTAAATATCTACAATATTGTGGTTTCAGACTGCTCTGAAGTGTTTTACAGCTTCTCTGCTTATTCTAAAATGGCCATAAACACAGCATAAATTCAGTCCGATGAAATAAAAGGTAAGCAGGAAAATGGTTATTTCCAAGTGTCAGGCAACCCATTTGAATAACCACACAGCTGAACGGAAGGGATGGCCAAGAAGGGCTCCCACCCCCGCCCCACCAAGCAAGAGGCCAAGGCACAGGAAGGCGTCTGACTTGCGCCCGGTCAATCGAGGGACAAGGGGACAGAGCGGGCCGCAGCCACTGCCCGCCCCGCCCAGCCCAGGGGCCCCGGGACACCTGCCCAGCTTCACTCAGACCAGCTGCCAGCTTCACTGTCACCCCCAAAGACCGGAGACCGGTGCTGTCTGACCGCAGAGAGGTGGACGGGTCCGGCCTCCCCGTCCCTGTCCCACGGGGTCGCCCCCTGACCGCCGGCGCCACCACACCCCAGACGCGGTGACTGGACTGGCGCTCTCAGTCCCGTTACTGCTGCCGCACGAGGTCCAGAGGCGATGTTCAGGCCGGAGGGCAGAAAGTGCGCAGGTGCAGCCCCGTCAGAGACAAGGCGCCACGCCCCGGCGCCAGCTGTGAACTGGGGACAGGCTGGGTCAGCCTCCCATCCCGGGCAGCAGGCCGCCCGCCCGCCCGCCACGGCCGTCCTGGCAGAACTGAGAGATAAAGGAATGATTGGTAATCTTCACGATGGCCTCACCATGAAGCTCTGTTTTTAAACTAGACTTTTTCACAATGTAATATGCAATTTGCTAAGCATGCAGGGAAGAGTTCGCCATTAAATTTCTCTGGAAGCTTGGCAACTTCCATCGTACCACCCCGGACACGTGGCGGTCCTATCAGGGCCCCCTCAGTGGTGCCATCCCACCTCCGCACGGTCCCTCCCGTGAGGCTGGGCCACGTGCTCTCAGAGCCTTGGCGACGCCGTCAGGGCATTCAGAGCTCTGCTGCACAGCATGACCCGTGAAAGGAACATGCACGAATGCAGTCCTGGAGGGGCCGAGCAACTGCACACCTACGGACAGAATTACAAAGCACCCACGTGGCTCAGGGAACAAGAGCGACTGTAAGCCACAGAGCTGGGAATCTTTCAATGGCCAGGAGCCCCCGGCTGGCGGTGAGAGGGTGAGCGGCAGTCCCGTCAAGACTGGTCTGGGCCCAGGAGGGTGGGGCGGCTGTAACCCACACTGAGCCGGAGCCCACTCCAGTCCCGGCTGGGCTCCCAGGAGGCCGGGCGAGGTGCTGCGCGCACCCTTGGGTACCTGGGTCTGCCACGAGGAGCCTGAGGCAGGTGGCTTCTAAGACGCCTTCCGGTGCCAACCCCCCGAGTCTTCAGTGCACACTGGTGCACGTCACCGAGTCTCTGCCGCCCCTGGGGCTGCTGGCCCCCAACGTCCTGGTGGTGCATAAGCACAGCGCCCGCACCCCGGACGGCCCCCGAACCCCGCGACCTCGCTGCGACAGCAGCGTCTCACCGCAGCGCGGCTCCTGCGGGGTCCCCTTCATGAACAGCATGCAGGGGGCGGCGTGCGTCAGCTTCTTCAGGCGGACCCCGAGGTCTTCTGTGGGGTGCTCACTCCCACTGGCAGGGAAGGAGCCCACCGAGGCGTGCCGCTGGACTTTTTTGGTCAGTTCTGGGGCGTGTGCGCCATCTAACCGGTCGATTTTCTGAGAATTCTGAAGGTAAAGAACTCATTTAGAACACGCGTGGCATCCCTCACTGCCCCCACGTTCTGGGCCCCCAGCACGAACAAGTGCACACGCCCACACCTCTAGCCAAGCTTTAGAGGGTGAGCGCTGTTATTGGAAACTTAAAAAATCTGACCATCAGCTGCCTGCTTCTCGGGTTTAGAAATGATTAACTGTTCTCTCTGTTCGTTTTTTTCCCCTTTTTGGGGACATCGTAGGAAAACACCTGTACGTGTTCAAATAGCAAATCCCACCAAGGCGCCGGTGTTTTTAAAGCCCATGGTTCTGAAGTCAATGATACAATGACGCCCCTGTGAGACTCACCGGGTTGGCGGTAAACACGAGAACATCTCACACTCAAACCAGACCCCAGGCCAATGTCCCACAAAAAGAACTTCCTACCCTGGAAGGGATGAAGCCTTCGCTAAGTAGGAGTAACATGTCAGGGGACCACAGGGACAGTCGGGCGTGCCCTACGGCACAGACCTGCTCCGCGGCCTGGAAGAGCCACACCAGAGCCGGGCCGACACCCCACTGTGTCCAGAGGCAGCCCCGCCACCGCCTTCTGACCGGAGGGCCAGTGTTCTGGGTGTACGGCGCGTGTCCGCACTTTTCCCTGCACCGAGGAGCCCCAGTTCCGGCTGCTGGGACCCCTATCTCGGTCACTTGGCCAGGACCCCGGACGAGCAAACACTACGGCTACGAGGAGGAGGGGCAAAGCCAAGAAGGTGCGGGGGTCAGGGCAGGGGTCATGGAACCGAACAGAAACCCCGCGGCCCAGCACAGCAGCCGTCTGGTGCTTGAGTCCTACCTTGAAGAACAGGAAGGTGGGGACAGAACTGATCTCGTGTTTTTCAGACACTTCGGGAACAGCTTCCGCTTCCAACTGGAAAAGAGAGAAGTGAAGCTTGGTCTCGGAAGGGGCTTTTGCGGGACTGCAGTCCGCACCGTGTTGTTCGGACCGTGAGACCAACTCCCCCCGCCCCAAATTTGGCAGGAATAATGGTGGTTAGTGCTGCTGTTGAGTTCTGTTTATGTGCACATGGTGACATATTATGTTATGAAATATTTCACCACATTTCTTGCTTCAGAATTTTTTTCCCGATCTTCCTCTAAAACCCAGGTGCATCTTATGGTCCAAAGAACGTGGTGACTCGGTTTCCTGGGCATCGCCCCTCCAAGCAGCTGATGTTTTGAGGAGTGTGGTACCGAGTCCACGGTACACCCACGTTTGGCTGAGGCCCCCCGGGCTGGTACATCGCCCCTCCAGGCCGCAGGGCCGACACGGGCTCAGAGGTGTTTATTTTGTCGTGTGTTTCAGAAGACGCCTGGAGGCTCTGAGTAAAACTTTCAGTGCACTAGTGACCTCGCACGACGATGTGCGGCCCCTGCTGCACGGGGGTCCACAGACCAGCGGTCTTGGCTACATCACGACCGCAGCGCCCTCCTCTGACCACGGCGACTCTCGCCCATTTGCTCTGCTGACTGATTCCCAGAGACAGGGCACCGTGACTGGCGGCTGCAGCCCACAGACGATTATAAAGCAAAAGGAAGTGTTTCTTCAATAAACCACTGACGCCCGACGGATTTCACTTTTAACTCCCGTAAGGCTGCTGGACATGGACAGACGCCTGCGTGGTCCCTGTGCCTGTGGGAGCGCACGCGGCCCGAGATGACTGCCTGTGTCCGGGGCCCCACCTGCAAACGCTGCGCTGTGGCCTCTGAGACACAGCCTGGCGCACACTGAGGGACGGTCCCCCGCAACAAGAACACGACCACCGTAGGCTGGTGACGTGGGACTGTACGGACCGTGTGTTTGAGAAAAGCTGAGACACACGGCATCTTTCCCTCAGAGGGCTGTCACTGTGGGCTAGACTTTTAAACCGATAAAACTCTGCATCCACATTACACCTGCAGAAAATGAAAATTACTATTTTTTCTCATTTTTTATTAACGTTTGAACATAGTTGTCTCCATCTGCCCAGGAAATAAAATTACTGAGAAATTGTATTGTTTAAAGTTCTTAAGATGCAGACGCTCTGCTTCTCCAAGCGGGAAAGGCGCCCCGGCCCAGGCGCAGCCCTGGCTGCCGGCGCCCCCACTCAGGCCAGCCCGGCCCCATCCGGCGCCCGCACCCAGGCCCTCTGGGGCTCTCACTGCCGTCACGCTCCCTCCTCTAGAACGCCTTTGAAACCGCACTTTTAATCAGGTTCACTGGCCGTGCACTTAAGTGACAAAGCCGTGTCCACTGCAGACCCACGTCCAGCAGCAGGGAACGAGAGCGAGGAGAAGGCCGGGCCATGGGAGGGACTCTCAGCCGGGGCTCGGGGGCTGTGCGGTCTGAGCCGCCTGCTCCCCCTCCCGTCCCACAGTCACCCCGGGGAGCGGCCCGGGCCGACAAGGAAGCTGTCTTCTGTCCTGTGACTGACGGCCACTGACAGTCCCACACACTGGGCTAGACTCAGTACAGAGAGCCCCCTTTGGGACCACCGGATTCTAACAGAAAAGTTAAACAAACCCGGAGGAGGCGACGTGGACTGAAAACAAGGTGTGGCCTCAGCTCAGAGCCCTGCGGGCGGCGCCCTCACTCCTAACACCAGAGGCCCGCATGCCTTGGAAGCGGGCGCTCCCTGCACTGCTGCTGCCCTGGGGGTGGGGGCGGTTCGCCACAGACCCCCCCTTCGGGACGCACACATGCCCCTGGGCGTCCCTGTAGAAGCCGGACGGCCCCCTGCGAGCCTCCCTCCCTGAGCCACAGGAGCCACAGCAGTGGAGACGGGCGGCCCTCGTGAGCACGGCCAGGAGAAGTGATGGGGTGCAGCCGCTGCCCCGAACCCCAGGGCGCCCCGAGTCCGAAACACTCGCAGCAGCAGAACTCTTTGGGATCGAGCTTGTTGAACGTGAAAGTGCGTGACGACGATGAACCAAGAAAAGGAATACGTAAGTACCTGACGATGACCCGCACTCAGGAGGGACTGGGGACATCCCTGACAGGCACATCCCTGACGGACACAGGTGCGGCTCAGGGAAGGCCCTGCACACTGGCGAGCTGAGGCGATCATGGCCGAGACAGGCGCGTGGCCCAGCCGCCCACGCACACAGCAGGCGCGGTCCAGAGTGATGTGCTTTCCCCACTGGGGTCAACGTCGCTGCTCCAGCGACCACGAGGGCAGGTGCCGGCCCAAAGGTGGGCTTGTGCCCGGCTTCAGGACCAACCAAACGCGTGCATTTCCAGCATGGAGTCCCCACAGAATGCCTTCAGTGGGGACCACCTGCTTCCTGACCACAACCCTCAGGCCAGAACTGTCCCCACGCATGGGCCCTGGCTGTGGAGAAGGGGACACAGGGCAGGGAGCTGTGATTGCAACAAGGCAAAGCCAGACGTGGGCGTTCTCTCTCTGCAGTCTACTTCCCCCGCCAGGGCCACCACGGCCAGCACGGCACGGCCGGCCGGCTGCATTGCGTGGTCTGGGCCAGGCCAGGCAGGGCTGTGGGTGCTGGCGCGCTTACCCTCACGACAAGAGGCGCTGCCACCGTGCCATCTTTCAGGATGAGCCGGGACCGTGAGCGGCTGGGTGACGGCCGAGTGTCTGACTCCACTAAGCTGTGGAAGGAGGCAGTCTGGCTCGGAGCTGTGATGCCACCTCGCCAAACCCCATGGCCACCCACTGCCGCTCACTCTGCTGACCTTTCAGTGCCATTCAATGAGCGTGACCTTCCGTGGATGCCCTCTGCTCGGCTCTCTTGCCCGCCCTAACTCTAAGACTACTCTCTGGCTTCTCCCTTCGCCTGCCAGGCCAACCTGGCTGCATGCCCCAGGACTTGGATCTGGGCCCGCTTGGCCACTGTTCCCCTGCAGCGGCCTCGTCTAGCCCACAGCCCCGGGTGTCCCCAACACGGTGCCCGGCTGGCACCCAGGCCAGCCTCTCCCCTCGCCTCCAGGCTCGCACTTGGACCCCCCCCAGCTCTCTCCTGCGAAGCCAAGCTTGAGTGACACCCTCGCCTAAGCAAAGCGCCCGCCCGCCCGCCCCCGCCGTGCGCACCCCGCCCTTCATCTGCTCTGTGCACCTGCAGGTCCCCGACTCGGCCGTGACAGTGCTTCCCAACTGCTGTCCACGCCCTCCCTGCCCGAAGTCCCCAGCACCAGCACAGTGCACGGCACGTCCCTGTCCACCAACTGAGTGCCGACGGAGTATCACATGACTAGTGGCTGCTACTCCTGAGCCAAGAGCGGAGTTACTCGCTGGCCGGCAGGGCACCGAGGCTGCAGGCGGAGGAGGGGACGCTCAAACCTAATTCAGGGGCATTCTGTTCAACCCCGTGACATGTGACCAAAAAGAAAAATTTTTCTAAATCAATTCTTCTCGTCACTCAAATATAAATTTCAAAACGGGTATTTAAATGACTGTTTTTGATAACTTCAAGACTTTTGCCAAACTCAGTGTACTGGCAACTAATGAGCTATGTGAGCTGTGCTGTTTCTACTCCGTGACAGGATGAACAAAAACAAAGATATTTTTAAGGCCTAAAAATTCTACTAGGATTTCCTTAGAGGCATTTTTAGAATTGCTAAAAAAATAAGCCTTACTATGCTAACAAACCCTACTATGCTAAATGCCACGGACACCAGACCAGTGGCCGTCTCTGACCCCAAGAACCAGAAATGCTGCTGGCGCCAAACGACACGGCTGGCGGGTGACCTGGGCTCTCCCCACGCTATCCCCAACACATGCACCGCCCAGAGGGTGAGGGTTAAACAGGGGAAGGCCTTCCAGCCAAGATGGAGGCGTTAGGTGGACACACCCTGCCTCCTCACACAACCAAAAGAAGGACAACACCAAATTTAAAAACAAAAAACAACCAGAACTGCCAAAAATCGAACTGTATGGAAGTCTCTGACAACGAAGGAGTTAAAGAAGAAACACTCATCCAGACCTGTAGGAGGGGCGGAGATGGGCAGCCGGGCGGAGAGGACTTGCAGCAAGGTGGCGGAGCAGGCGGTCCCACACTGGCACGCAGATAAACCGGGAGGAACCACCGGGGAGGGAGACAGATGGCGAAACCCAGGGTTTCAGCGGGGAAATAAAACCTCAAAACCTCTGGCTACAAAAACCTGGGGGGGTTGTGGTGGAGGAGAAAGTCCCAGCCTGGCAGGAGAGTTCGTTGGAGAGACCCACAGGGTCCTAGAATATACACAAACCCACCCACCTGGGAATCAGCACTAGAAGGGCCCAGTTTGCTTGTGGGAAGCGGAAGAGGTGACTGAAAGCCAGATGAGACACCAGCAAGTCAACAGCACTGTCCCCTCTCGGACCCTCCCCCATGCGCAGCGTCACAAGGCAGCAATGTGGGCTGCCCCGCCCTGGTGAACACCTAAGGCTCCGCCCCTTACTACGTAGCAGGTGCAACAAGACAAAAAAAGTGGCCCAAATGAAAGAACACTTCAAAGCTCCTGAAAAAAATAAAACTAATTGACAGAGATTGCCAGCCTATCAGATGCAGAGTTCAAACCACGGGTAATCAGAATGCTCTCAGAAATGGTAGAGTATGGTTGCACAACAGAGGAAGAATGAAGGCTATGAAAAGTGAAATAAAGGAAAATGTACAGGGAACCAACAGTGATGGGAAGGAAACCAGGACTCAGATCAAAATGAAGAAACAAGAATTTTAAAAAATGAGTACTGTGGGACAACTTTAAACGTCCCAACATCCAAATCATAAGGGTGCCAGAAGGAGAAGAGGAAAAGCAAGAAATGAAAACTTCTTTGAAAAATTAATGAAGGAAAACTTCCCTAATCTGGCAAAGGAAATAGACTTCCAGGAAGTCCAGGAAGCTCAGAGAAAACCGCAAAATTTGGACTTAAGGAAGCACATGCCAAGGCACATCGTAAGTACATTACCCAAGATTAAAGATAAGGAGAGAATTTTAAAAGCAGCAGAGGAAAGGAGAGAGTTACCTACACAGGAGGGCCCGCGCCCCCGTGCCAGTCAGGGCCGGGGCACCAGCCTCTGACGGACGAGAGCCCCGCCTGCCAGCAGCCCAGTCCGAGGGGCACAGGCCCCTCCCACCGGAGCTGCGTGCTCACCTCCCTCGGTGCCATCTCACCATTTTCTCTCCACAATAAAAAGTGCGAGTGGCCACCAAATTTTCCCATCAAACTATGGGAAACGTCAATTTTCAGGTCACCTACGTCATGATTCTGTAAGTCTAAGTGTCAGATGGACTAATCTCCACATCTCCAATCAAAAATGCCAAACGAAGCCCTGGCTGGTGTAGCTCAGTGGATTGAGCGCAGGCCTGCGAACCAGACAATCCCGGTTTGATTCCCAGTCAGGGCACATACCGGGGTTGCAGGCCGGTTCCCTGCAGGCCAGTTCCCAGCAGGGGACGCATGAAAGGCAACCATACATTGATGTCTCTCTCCCTCTCTCCTTCCCTTCCCGTCTAAAGATAAATAAAATCTTTAAAAAATGCTTTCTAAAAAAAAAATGCCAAACGACCTCGGCCGTTGAAAAACATCCCCCAATTAGGCGCAGCGGCAGCTGAGCAGCAGCGCTCTCCCGGAGGCTCCAGAAAGCTCTGCAGCAGAGAAGTGAGGCACAGTAACTCGAACCTCCTGCCCTGTTCGTGCAGGGATGGCCGAAGGCTGAGCTTGCCAACGCGCCCCCTCCCAGGGGCTCCGCAGCTCCAGCCCCCCAGGCCTCTCAACCGGCCTGCGCCCTCCCCCGGCCTGCGCCCTCCCCGCGCCCAGAGACGCCCAGTGGAGGAAAAGGGCCTCGGAGCGTGGTCCAGAGAGCAACCACTGGCACCTGGCGGCGGGCCCATCACACCGCCCAGCCTGCTGACACTTCTGCACCCGAACACGCAGTCCCGCTGCCAAGTGCCGCACCAAGGTGAGAAGTAATTCTACCGTCACTTTAAATAAATCATTCCGGTGGCAGCTAGGAACAATGTGTCACCTACACCAGTAACACTACACACAGAAAAGCAGGCTCTCGACAATTACCACCACCTTGATTAATCTTATGATTGAAATGTTTAATCATTCATTTCGCTTGTAACCGTTATCTTTTATCGCTGGCCCGCCACGCAGCTTCGGTGTCCCCTCCATTATTCATGAGGGACATTTTAGGGCTACGGTCTAAGGTTACGCTACACATCTCGCTGGAATTTTCAACGCGCCCTTCAACCTGAAGCAGCTCGCGGTCGCCGTCACACTTGCTGCGCCTGCACAAAGAAGCCCTGGGAGGCCCGTGCGGAGTCAGAGCCAGCGCCGACTGGGGGCTCCAGGGCTGACGGGGGGCGTGCCCTCCCCGCCGCCTGTCCCGGCTTTGATTTCTGAGCCACCAGCGGCAGCGCCTCCTGGGCGCAGCTCCAGCACAGGGACGTCGGAGGACCGCCCCCGTCTGCACAGTCCGTCGGTCAGCCCACGCACAAAGTGGCGTGCGAACACGCCGCATTTCGAACTCTATACGTAGGTACATTAGCCAACATGTCTCAGAAACTCATAAATCCCGTGCTAAAAAAATTAAGGCTTTGGGTTTTTGTTTTGAATCCCAAGGACGTGGGCTCCCTTCCTGTGAATTCATTTCTGAGGCTCTCGACTCCTCCTCTGGCCTGGCTGCCCAAACCAACAGGAAGTCCTGTGACCACATGGAACGTGCTGGACCCCGTGAGCACGGTCTCCCGTTCCTGGGGCTCCCCACCCAGGAGAACCCCGGCACACTGCAGGCCCGAGCAGCGCAGGCGCAGACGGCAGGAGAGCCGGCCGCTCCCTCTTCCTCCGCCGGCCGCACGAGACGGCGAGCGCCGCAGCCTCTCCAGCAGGCCCGCCACAGCCCGGGCAGCGGTCTCTCCTTCGTGCCCCGGTTCCTGGCGCCCGGCTCACGCTTTCTTCACTCACTCCCCTTCTCACCCAGCTTTTTCTCGGTGCTATTTCCGACGTGAAGACCATGGTGGCCCTCAGTGCACGGTCTAGTCTGCTCCGCCCACCCCTGTGCCCGTGCTAATGCGTGTGTGCTGAGCGCCACGTCGCGATGCCATCGCCTGTGAGATGTTTGGGAAAAGCAACAGACCCCCGCCACCGACAACAAGCGCACGGATGGGAGCCCTCGCCAGCCCGCCCCACCCGGGCCCCCAGGAACCCCTGCAGGCCGCGGCGCTGGGCGCAAGTACCTTCAGGAAGGAGACCTGCGGGTGCTCTCGGGCCAGCTCCACCATCACGTCGTTCATCTGCGCGCACTGCGGGGCCCACGGCGCCCAGAAGTGGACCACGACCAGGGACCTGCAAAGAGAGCAAGTGCGGCTGAGAAGAGGCGCTCGCTCGGAGAGCGAGCCCGTGCTGACGCCGCCGGTCTCCACAAACGCCCTCAGGAAAGCCGCCTGAGCCCCTTCGGTCCTGCCCGAGTGCCAAGTGCCGCGGCGTGAGACGTGCGCTGACACACGGGGACCTGTGAGGCCTCACAGCCTTTCCCAGGGAGTGTCCGAGTCGCCGGCCGGAGGCCTGACACCTGGCTCACGTGGGCTGGTCCGGATGCCCGCCCACCATCACTGACAGTCCCGCCAACCTCGGTCTCCCGACCCCCAGCAACGGCGGGCCTGGCGCTCACGCACGGCGGCTGCCGCTGTCACTGCAGGTGTCCACTTTGCACCGCGGTGGGTGACGAGGGGGCACAAGCGTTACCATAGGAACAGGAATAAAATGCTGAGAACAAAAGCGCACAAGCAGAAAGTGTACAGAAAACAACTGCTTCTTACAAAGACACACTTCTTACATTACACTACAAAAGGTTTTTAAAAAATAAATAGTATGAACCGGCGGAATAGTGGATTAATAAACTGTTGATGAAATTCTTACATAAAATGATCCTGACAGGGACAATATGTAAGTTTACCCTCATATCCAACTGAAAAACCAGTTTTAGAGAGTTGTAAGTTGAGCCCTGGCCAGTGAATGCAAAGGTCATGGGTTCGGTTCCTGGTCAGGGCGCCTGCCTGGGTTGCCAGCCAGATCCCCAGTTGGGGGCTGGGCCACTGAACGATCGATGTATCCCTCACACACATCCACTGATGTTTCTTTCTCCCTCCCTTCCTCTCTAAAATCTTAAAAAAAAAAAAAGAACTCTAAGTTCCAATATAACCCCACTTCCCCCCAGGAAGTGAGGAAGAAAACGGCCTCAGCACACTGTGGAAAGAGAAACCAAGGAAGGCAACATGGAAGGAAGGTGACACCGGAACACAGTGCGAGTGGGGCAGGAGCCCCCGCCCTGCCTTCCGATGTGGGAGCAAGGGAGGCCCTGGGGCTCAGAGGCAGAGGCGTGGGAGCTGATCATGGGGCAGGGACAGCGTGGCGCAGAGTTTCGGGCTCAGTGACAGAGGGCCAATGTGGCACCAGACACGACTCAGTGCAGAAGCCGCCAGCCGAGAAGAAAGGGAGTCCAACGGGCGGTTCCGGAATCTGCTGATTTGGGAATCAAGAAACTGTCGGCGTCCACGCCACGCTCAACCACAAGGTGGGGTGAGGCCAGAGCCCCGGGCTGCTCGGCAGTCCGGACAGATGGAGGAAAAGGCCCAGGGAGTGGACCAGAGGGACCAGAGGCAGGGCTCAGGGAGAGGGCCTCACCGCAGTGCAGAAGGAAGGCGGGGGGCACCGACCACGGCAGCAGGAGAGGACCACCAGCGATGGGTGTGCCTCCCCCTGGCGGGCGCCGGGCGCACTGCGGTGGGTGGGGCAACTGAAGACGGTGCCAGCGCCTGGAACCTGCTCTTTCCCCGGTCCGGCTGTGCACAGTGAGAACTAAGCAGAGGCCAGGACAGGCTCAAGGGCTGGGGGTTTCAACACAAGGAAATCCGAACAGGTTCTTCTGTGAGCGGACCACGAGCGGGGACTGGGAGAGGCTGAAGAAGACGGGGTGGCTGTGTGTGCAAGGACTCCGAGGCGGCTGGAGAGGGAGGCGCGGAGGGATGGTCGCGGAGCAGAGGGCTCTCCTCTCTGGACCAGAAGCGAAGGGACCACAATGGCAACAGGCAGAGATAAATGCACAGGTGATGGGGGAGGGGCAGAGACAGGGATGATGCTGAGGGGAGGGCTCCCAGGGGGCATGGGGGTGTGGAAAATGGGAGGCCCTAAGGGAAGACCCACTCGAGGCTGGGAAAGACCCTCTGTGGGTCCCAACCCCTGCGTCCTGTTTGCTTCAGCAGAACTGGGCAGTGGCAGAGGCCAGGAGGTGGCCTGGGGCCTGGGTCAGAGGCCCCGTGCCTCCTCCTGCACTGCCTCCACCTGCAGCTGTCAGGGACCCTGCCTCTGAGTCCCGGCTGCTGGGATGCAGGCCAGGGACTGCCCCCCCAGCCCTCGAAATCCCATCACGCGAGCTTCCTGCTCACTCCAGCCGCTGTCATAGAGCCTCTGCTGAGGGCACGAGGGGCCCAAGACCTAAGGCAAGGTGAGATGGAGGAGAGCCCCCGAAAAACCCATGCGAGAATGGTCACAGCAGCCTCGGACACGGAGGCCAAGTCCAAATGCCCGCCCACTGGGAACCTGCGGTGAACTCACACCGAGGATGCTACTCAGCAATAAGAAAGAAACCACCACGGGGATGAGCCACAAAAGGGAGGGGCCTCACACACTCACGGAACAGAATCTGACGGGCACCGAAGACCCGGAGCACGAGAGCCCCTTACACCAAGTCCAGGGGCAGGAAAGTCACACCCACAGCGCAGAGAGCAGGTCGGTGGGGAGGCCTGCGGGGAGGGGCTGCAGGCTCCCTGGGGCTCTCTGTCCGCACCCTCAACCGAGGTCACGCACGTGCATGCGGCTGTCAGAGGGCACCACACCTAATAATTAAGACCTGTGCCTTCTATTACAGTAAGTTATTGCCCCATCTTTCACCAGCTTGAAAAGATATTTAAGATCACAGTATCTAATGATCCAAAGAGCACAGTGAGAGAGCCTGCTAGTTACAGCAAAACTGGAACCCTTTGGAAAAATCTTACACACTTTCGAGTGTCTATCCTAGAAACGTAATTAAAGAGACAAAAGTTTATGTATATGAGTACTTCCCCATTACTTTACAAAGCAAATAAATGTAAAAACTTACAGCACAATGGTATGGTTTTTAAGAAACATGATAAAAATATTATAAAGCCACTGAAATCATGTCAGAGACCTTTTAATAACATGGGACATGATTACATTTTTTTGAGAAATATAATAGGTTACCAAACTTTTGACAGTATGAACTGGCAAGTAAAAAAGAAAAAAACACACACAACTTAAATTCTATCACTAGGACCATGGCCTTAAAGAGTACTTAACTTCTCTTAACCTCCCCGTCTGCACAACAGCAGCAACCAACACCCTGGGATGCAGGGAAGAGCAAGCAAAAATTTACAGGCACTCTGAAAACGTCAAGGAATGATAGTAATGTTCACTGTTACTTTATTCATTCCCAATATTCCCATATGTAGATGCTCAATGTCCACTCTCCCATTAAGTACGTGGTACCTAATATCACCAGGACACACAGCTGAAACAGACAGGGAGCTGCCACCCCTCTTGGGCTGCAAGTCCCAGCGTCCTCTCTGCCTTCGTGGAGCGACACCTGCAGAGCGACACCTGCAGAGCGCACCGGGGAGGACCCTGGAGAAAGAGCAGGTTCCGGGCCTGACCCCTGAGACTGGAAAGTGTTAGCGCTGCATGAATGGTTGCTGCTCTGCCACTGCGGGCGCTCTGCTCCCAGTCACGCCTCTGCGGGCGACACCGGCTGCCATTATTAAACACTATCGTGCTAGACATTTTACAAACAGGCAAAACCTTAGTCACTCAGCAAATGGTTGTTAATACCCCCCATAGAGACCAGCTGAGATTTCAGCAACATGTAAACATGATGCACACGACTAAATAATTTAAGCAAAAAATGCAATTCATATGAAAATTTCAAAGTGAAGAGATTTGGAAAGTGGGCTTTAAATAACTGTATCAATGAATGCTATGTAATGCTCTTCAATGCTTCCATTTTCACAAAAAGCTGCAGAAACGTCTGCCTTCCCAGATGCCCGACACCGTGTCCCACGTGCCCATGGATGCTGGGGCCGAGGGAAAGGTAGTGTTTGTTCTGAGTCACTTCAAGCACATACCAGTGTCGAGAATACATCTAAGTGGTATTTACATTTCAACTTTTACCAGTTGTGACATTTTTAAGGACTTTTGTTCTTAAGAAATGAAACAGAAACAAAAATGTGCAACAAAAAGCAGAACCGCTCACGGGGTTGGGGGCGAGTCCTCACAAGCCTGCCTGTCTCAAGGGGCCACCTTGGACTCGTCACTGGGCTGTCACTGGGCTGTAAAGGCCGGTGGTGGGATGACCCCGACCCCACTTTTTATCAATAAGTGAACGTCGTTCCCCTTTTCTTAAAAAAAAAAAATTTCCCAGACAACCCTAAAATATGCCAAAGGGCTGGGCTGGCAACGCCTTTAACTTCATCGCCTCCACCAAGCTCGGCCAACTCCAAGTCTGACAGTAAATTTCACCCTTCCCGCGTTGGAGAGGCAGTGAGTGACCTCCCACCCACCACCTGCAAGGTCCCTGCAGCTGCTCTGCTGTGTCTCTTCGAAACGCCGCTGCGCTTGGACCAGTCGCCGGCGCATCCTGCCGGTGAGCACCGCGCAGCCACCGCAACTCTAAGGGCCGACGAACGGAGCTCCCGCGTCGGGCCACGTGCATTACATGCATCGCCCCCCTGAAGCCCCCAACCCCAAGGAGGGCCCTGCTCCAATCCTCCTCGAGGCCCGGATGTGAACTTGCCCGGAGGTTACCTGGCTGGTCCGGCTGCACTGGGCACGGCTCCCAGGCCACCGACGCCGGACCTCCCTCCCCCGTCACCCACCAGTCTCCCCGCAGAGAGCCGCCCAGTCCTGGGACGGAGGACCCTACGAACCCCACCAAGCCAGATGTGGTGGGCACCACGGAGCCCGGACTTATGGGCACTCGGGCAGTCCGGTCCCTCTGTGTCCCCACGCCGTCCCTAGGCAGCCCTGTCCGTGTCCTTCCCAAGGGCGACAAGCACGTGCCCCCCGCGGCACGGACCCCAGCAGGCAGCCCTTCCCGAGGTCGGAGACGCGGGGGGCAGCGGTCTCCGCGCCCTTCTCGGCCCCAGGCTGGGTAACCCCGCCATGGCGCCCGGGGTGCGGGGCCGGGCGGGAGGGTAGGGGGCCGGGCCTGGGAGCGCCCGGCGGTCGCGGTCGGGCCGGGGCTGGGGTCGAGCCCCCCTCTTCCGCCAGTGCCAGGATCCAGGGCCCGGAGGCTGTGCCCCCCGCCGCTGCCCACGAGGCCCCTGCCGCTTCTGCCGTGCCCCTCACGCCCGCCGCCCCGCTCACTTGGCTCTGAGGCGCAGCAGCTCCTCAAACTGTGGGGCTGAGCCGACATCCAGCACCTCCACGGCCGCCATGCTGCTACCGCCGCCAGACAGGAGCAATCGAGCGCAGGCGGGGCGGGGCCAACGGCGGCTGCGCGAGAGAGCCCCGCCTCCTGCCCCGGTCTGCGCAGGCGCCAACCAAGACCGGCCCTTCCCCACCCCACCCCCAGCCAGGGGCGGGGCTTCGAGCCAAGTTAGTTTGCAGCACCTGCGGGTTCTAGCGTCGGGGACTCCGGGCTTCGCACCCACCAAGCAACTCCCACAGCGGCTAGGACAGGGTGTGCGTGTAATGGTAGTGTCGGTGAAGGCAGCGAGTACATGCTTGTGCATAACGAGCCGAAACTTTAAAGCGGAATGACACCAACGTGGAGTGGAGCGAGAGGTCAGGGACGGGGAGGGTGCGCGTCTCCAAGCTCAACACTAACCGGGGCCTGCGGGACCCCAACCTGCGCCACCGTCTGTGAGACCACTTGCGCCGGCGGTGCCACCCCTGAGCGCTGACCCACCTCCCCGCTCACTGGGACTTCACCGTGACTTCAGAGCAGCACTGCCTGGGCTGGGGCCTTTCCTCGCTCCCTTGCCACGCCCGGGTGTTGACTCTCCCGCCTGCTGTGTCCTTTCCCCTTCTCATGCCCCCCACTCTCTCTCAGGCCCAGTCCTCTCGTCCATGTCCTGAGTGTCCACAGGCGAGCCCCTCTGATCCGCTTTAGGGAGAGGGCGTCTCCTGTCCGAGGTCCTCAAACTGCATCCGCCTCCCCTGCAAAGGGCCCTCTCCCCCGCCTCCCGTAGCTTCCTTCTCACTGAAGTCACACCCCCACCCTGGCGCGACCTCCCTCTCTAACAGGGCGCCCGTGCTGCTTCCGCCTTGTATCTCCTTACCTACTACATGCTTGTCTCCTCCAGCCCAGTTCTCAAGGGCAGGAACTGTGTCCAAGGGGCCTTCGAGAGCGCCAGGGGCACCATAGGCGCTCGCTGCGTGCACAATATGTTCCCCCGATGAAGAAGCGGACTTGTGGAGTTTCAAAGACTTGTTACAAAAAACGTAATATATCTCACCAGTCACCTTTATACTGATTGCAGGCTGAAATGATAGTATTTTGGGTTTTGTGAAATCATTATTAAATTTACATCACTTTACCTTCTTAATGGGGTACTAGAAAATTTAAAATTCCGTAGGTGACTCATTTGCAGCCCGCTTTGTATCTTATCTTGGCTGCAGGGCAACAGTGACAGAAAGTGGCCTTAGGAGCCCTGACCTGCGTGCCTCACCCCGAGAAATGTATGTTGCTGGAAATGGGGAATTAGGGTGTTTAAGACTGAAGTGGAGAAAGACGGGAAACTGTTTTGTATCCTGACTGTGGTGGTAGGTACACACACCTAAACACGTGACAGAATTACATGGAAGGAAGCACACACACAAGCACCAGGAAGACGGTCTGGAAAGGATGGGCGGCGGTCCCAGTGTCAGCATCCTGGCTGTGCAGCCGCACTGCAGTTTGCAGGGTGTTACCTTTGGAGGTGTGCACAGGGTCTCCGAGTATCACTTCCTAAGACCTGCAGGTGACTCTACAATTATTTTAAAGTAAAAAGGGTATGTTTTCAGAAAGTAAGTAAAACCCAGAGATTACTATGAAAAAATGCAATGGGGAGACACCATGTTGCAAAACCCTTTTGCAACAGAATTACATGCAAACGAAATGCGTGAGTGTGTGCACAGCTGAACGCAGCGTTTAAAAGGGCTCTGACGAGGTGGGGCCTGCGGTGCTGGAGAGCTCACCCCCAGGTTGTAAAAATAAGGGGCTTTTAAAGGGGGGGGGCCTTCACTTTTGAGTTTATACACATCTCCCTGTCGTTTGCGTTTTTTCAAAGAGCAGGGACAGGCGTTGTAGTTATTAAACTAATGAAACTACAGTGCACCAGGGCAATGTGCTAAAGGACTCTTTTTTAAAAAATGAAGCAGTGATCACCTCTGTAATGTGGCTGGTGCAGAACCCTGAGTTTTCCTTTATGTGGAATTTGCTGGAAGCAGCATGTGCCCCAGCCACGGAGCAGACTTCCTCCCCAGCAGGCTGGGAAGGCCCTGGAGAAACTTTCCAGTCCTGCCTCCTGCCTCCTGTGCTGGTCACCGTGGTACTGACAGGCCCGATGCTGGCAGGTGACCTCTGTGCCGTAACGTGCTCTGACTTCGGCAACAGACTCAGGCCAGGCTGCTCTGACAGGGCGGTCGCATTGAGTTACAGGTGTGCAGGGGCTCCCACACCCTCACATGCATGTGTCAGCATTCACCATCACTGCTTCTTCCCGCTGCTGTGTAAAGACACCACTGCCAACGCCCACACTGTAGCCTAGGGAACATGGTGGGGACTCACCCCACCCTGCATGCTGTTGATACACTGGAGAGAGCCCGGCTCTCTCTGAACCAGCTTGGGCCGGGAAGGAAAACCTCCCCATTGGCCTGCTGCACCGGTGTGGCCTGTTCGAGAACACTCTGGGCTCGGCTTCCCCGTACGGCCCTGCTGCTGCTTGAAAGCTCAACGCCACCGCCAAGCAGGACACTGGGGCTGCTGCGGGCCTTGTCTCCAACGCGGGTTCGTCGAATGCTGCGTGTTAGCATCTTCAGGCCACATCCCGTTTCCCTGGGGCCAGGGAGCTGAGGGGCCCTGCCTTCATCTAAGTGCCCTTGGATGGGGCTGCTCCTGGGCTCCCAGAGCCCCATGGTCAGGGAGCAGGAACACCTTTCCCCAGACAGCAGCACTGCCCGAGAATTTCCCCAGGGTGCTGTGTGGCCCTTGGCGTGAGGTGGGGGTGGGGTGAGGTGGCTCAGGGACAGGATGCTGGGCTCTCTCTCTGGGTCCTTGGTGCTGAAGTCCTGGCCTGGGAGAACGAAGCTCAGACGGAGTTGCCCTCCTGGGCAGCAAAGGAAGGCCGCCTGTGCCTGTGAACTGACCCCCTTTCAAAGACGCGCGCCTGTGTGATGAGTTATTCTTCGTGGTCACGACGTCTAACACCTCGCGCCTGCATGGCCCACCCGGGAATATCGGAGCCACACCCTGTGAGGAAGAGCCACTCGTTCCTGTGGCCAGCCAGGTGTCAGTCTGCGCAGGCACAGAGCTAGCTCGAGTGGGCACCTGTAGCCGAGTGCAGAGGAGGGGCAGTCAGCTGAGAGGAGGACTGGGCACAGAATTCCCAGTGGGGGGCTCCCCATGAACCCCACCCCAGGAGCTGAGAGACCCAGGGACCCCGGAGGGAAGGACTCATGCTTAATGGGCAAAGCACAGCACTGGGAAGTGTTGTAGTTCAGCTGGAGTGGCCACAGCTTCCTCCCTTTCAAGAGCGCCCCTTAAATTCTGATTACTCCGCCCCCAAAGGCCAGTTGAGAACAACCCCAAATGGAGGGAATTAATTTCCTCAGGAATTTCCCCGTTAGAAGATGCAGGGAGCCCCCCCCCCCCCCCCGCTGAGAAACAGTAAAACTGTAAGTGCAGGAGATTTGCACCTGAAGGGTGCATATTTTAATTTCTGTTCTCCAGCTGCGATAACATCTCTGGGACTACTATAGAAAGCATACAGGAGCCCCCACACGGCTGCTGGGGGCCTGCTCACAGACCTCCCTAGGAGGGGTCTGCACCTGAATGGGACCTCAGGAGCTCTCTCCACCCCACTCCCCGTGCTGTCTATCCACCAAGGTGGGTGGGGGCCCGGGGCTGTGGCCAAGGGCACCATGACCTCTTTGGGGTGGCTGGCTGGGAAGGGAGCCCCCAGAGGTTGATCAAAGCCTGGAGCATTATCCCTGGACTAGACCCTCCAAAGCCCACCCCCATGCCCCAGCCCGCCCCCAACCCTGGAGCCTCCCTCACTGCCCCCGCCGAGAGGCAGAGACAGTCGGTGTCCTGCGCTCAGGAGCCCCCAGCGGTGTTCACCCTGCTGCCCTCAGTGTGGGGGGCTCCAAGATGGGGCTTGGGAAGGCCGTGTCACAAGCCACACCAAAACACGCTGGATACTGGATCCGGCCAAACGTCCAGTTCTTCTCCTCCTTGGCCCAAGGGCCAACCCGGTGACAAGGATGCTGGAAATGTCACCCTGAGAGCCAAGGACGAGTCTGGGCTAGGGCCGTGGGAAGGGCTGTGAGGGTTCCTCTGTTGACCCTTAGGAGTCAGGAACTTGATCTTGGCACCAGTCAGCCAGTGTTCTGGGCCGTCTTCCTTGCCAGGAGCTGCTCATATCGGAAGGGCTCTGTGTATGTGCCGGCCATAAAGGTAGTTTATGCTGCCACAGCTAGATTTTTATTGGTTGTATTTTTGCTGCACTTGCTTGAAACATAATTATTTTCAAAGAAAAGAAGAATTACATATCCGGTGAACTAAATAAAACTCACGTTTATTAGGGACCCCTGACAGCTCCTCAGGCATGAAAAAAGATCTCGGCGCAGGAATGGACAATTTATGTGCAAGGTTATTTGTAAAACAGATTTCCAGGCACCTTCATCTGGGCTTCACCAATAAAAACACATTTCATTTCTTTTCAGAGGCGTGTTGTCGATGCTTTCACGGTAACCGGTTTCCTGGAAGAAGATAAACCCACCTGGATGAGCAGGTGCTCACTGCCCTAATTAATCTAGGGTTGGGTGGGGTGCTTGGGGGTTGCGTGGGGGGGGGGGGACAGGTGCGAGCATATCCCGCAAGAAATGTATGTATAAGAAATGTAGTTCACAAATCTTAGGTCCATTGCTGCAATCTCCAAAACCTCTGGAGACAAAATAACTTTTAAAGGTGTCTTTAATTGTTTACCGTTCACCCGGAAAGGGCTCATCGGGAGAGCGACTGCCGGTGCGTTTTCCCTGTCCCACGCCCGCCAGGGGGCCGCAGGTGCGGGCTGCAGCCCCGGCTTCCAGACTGCGGGTGGCGCCAGCCGCCTCTCCAGGCCGGAGGGCGCGTCCTTTGTTGTGAGCTTTCTTTAGGCCCGGAGAGGCCACCACTCAGAGCTTCCACAGAAGGTGCTGTGTCCGCAGGCGCCCTGCTGCCACCAGAAGCAAGTGCCGTTCCCCAGGCGCAGGCCGGTTCCCCTCTGCCAGCCCTTCTCCTTGCGGTGGTCCGGGGAGCGGAGATCCCCAGTCTCCCCAGTCTGGGCTGTGCCTGTGAACTTGCGGGCCCGGGAAGGGGCGGGGACCGGCGGTTCCCGGGAACCCCCAGGGTGGTTCCCCGCGGCGGCGTCACCCCAGGTGCGGACTAGGGACACACTGTGTCTGTACGCAGCTGCGTGGCTTTGAGTGGATCGCTTTACCCGAACACGCCGCGGTGCGCGTGCCCTGTGTGTGTATGGGCATTTATTCTCCGAGTCCACTTGGAGTTCATTGTCTGCTCTTCTTTGTAATTCTTTCCATTTGAGAAACTAAGGGCCAGGCGAGCTTGCTGCTGTGTCCCAAACAAGAATACTCGTTGAGTCAGAAGTGACCCTGAAGGCAGCTAACGAGGTCTGACCAGGTACGTTCCTCCTCAACCAGGACCCTTCTGGACAAGGACCGGGTGCCCTGCGCCCTGTGAGCCCCCGCCCGTCCCTGTCTGCTGCTGCCCCCTTGCTCCCCCTACTGCTGCTTTTGCCAGGAGGTGTCACCTCATTGGAGTGGCTGTCCGTGGTGTCCAGTGGGCCCCCCAAGCAGAGCTGGCCCTTCCAGCCTGCAGAAGGGACTCAGGGTGCAAAGGCCTGGGATAGGAGAATGCAGGCACGTGTGCCCCCGAAAGACACAGCTCGATGGTCACCGCTGGGTTCTAGGGTCCCCGCCACGGCCAAGGGCAGAGTTGCCCACTGGTCCTCTCTCCCGTGGCAGACGTCATCCCAACCCGTCCAGTGAATCGGCCTAACTAGTAAACCAGCGACCACGATACCTCACGCCGGCCACACTGCCTCAAAAGTACCACCTCTACAAGGCCTTGCTCCCTTCCTCTCTGTCTTCTGACGGAGAACTT